CCCTGAAATCATGTCCCCAGCAACAGATGATGGAAAATGACAGCAAAATGACAAATTTTAAATATGGTTGCAGAAGGCCGAGGTCATGAAGAAGCTCTAGGGGGTGTCACGATAGAGCACTTTATGATCAGAAACCTAAATTTAGCCTTTTATGGTGTGGTAGGATGCAAGAAGCAAACTCCAATGTTGTGTGTAACATTGCTAATAACAATCCATTGAGACTTTATAAACAGAGCTGTTGCTTGTCATAATTAAACTCACCAATTCAGAATTCAGGCTAAACATTACAGAATTCTTTTACAACATTAAGGCCTTTAGTTCTTGGCCACAATGTTCACAAATATGTAAACCCAGCGTGAAAATATGTCAGCTATCAGAAAAAGGGGGTAAAGGAAGATGATAACATATACATCTATAAAATGAGGGACAGATGGAAAATAGAAACAATTATGGGTATTATTCTGGAAACGTGGAAAGGTGGCAGAAAATCAATTTTATCCCATAAGCCATCCCACACTTAGGAAGAAATGCACTGCTCTTTTTGCAGCTTGAGCTCATGTGTAGCACGAGGCATGGTTTCCCAAAGGACTATTCAACCCTATATTAGGGTTAATTAAACTTCCCTCCCATTTAGGCAATGGGAGTTTTACCATTTACGTCCAACGAGAACAGAGTTCATAGGATACCAAGGCTGGAAGGGGCCTCATTAGGCTACCTAGGCCAGCCCCCCTGGCTAAACCACCACATCCAGCAAATGTAGGCTACTGCTGGATGCTTTGAAAACTTCTTACTTGCTATGTCCAGAAGTGTGGGGATAAAATGCAAGGCTGAGAGGCAGGGGATCTGAACTCTGTTCTTTTACTCGTTCACAGATGCACTGAATGGCTCTGTGCATGCCATCCTACCTTACTAGTCGGTGGTTGAGTAGAGAGCTAGAGAAATACAGTGACCCTACGTAGATGAGGGTAGAGGGCAAGAGTTGGGCCATGGGTTGCTCTGAGTATGGTGAGGACATAAGGAGGGAAGGCTTAAGCAGGGGGCACCCAGTACACGCCTGATCTTAGGGAAGTGTTCAGCACTTCGGTTCCTACTGAAATTTAAGGGAGCTGCAGGCATTCCAGGACTTCTAAAGTTCAGATTCTTCTCGGCCTATTTGCACGCGGCCTGTAGGGAACGTTACCAAACTGCATTACAAGAAAGCATGCAATGGCGATGTTACGCTGTGAGAAGAAAAATATAAATCTATCAGAAAGATTTCCCAGTAATATTTTTAGAAAGGGTGCTTTTCATTTGTACATATCACTTCTTCAGCAACTGGAAAGAATAAATGAAGTTATTTAACTAGAAGTGAAACGCCAGGCATATTTTCAAATTAAGGCAATGCAAGTTTGTTTTTTTTTTTAAATTCCTCAAGTACTTCTAGAGGAGATAAAGATCATGTCCAGATCAAACAGAAGATAAACCTTACAAAACACTGAACCTCTAACCTGGTGGACACCAGACAGATCTTTTAAAAGAAATGACTGGCTATGATTAGAAGCCCATTCAATAGACTCCGATAAATTCATGAGGTTTTAATTAGAAACGTTGCTAGCTGAAGATAGCCTAGCCAATGTAAAGGTGGGGAAAGGTCAGCTGCTTCATTATGCTACCTTCTATTTTATTTCTTTCCCTTCCACTTCAGTCCACAAAGCCATTGTTAAAAACTAGGTCTTGGTAGATTGTGCATTTTGAGGAGAAGTCACAAAAGCATGGCACTATAATGTTGCTCAGCACACCGATAGACTGATAGGAAAACCACGGATATAGGAACCCATCCTATATGAAAATGTGTAAAAATCAGAAGATGGCATCAAACAATGACATGATCCTAGCAACATTTGTTGGAGTTGGATATCAATCACAAGAGTCAGAACCAAACTACAGGTCTGTGGTTTGTTGTGTTGTGGGTTTTTTTCACACAGACACCTGACGATGGCTTTGCAGAGCTGAAACTGAGCTCAGTTTTGGCCATGTTTGATACCATAGGACATTTGACTCGTATGACTATTAACCAGTGCATACCCTCTGGCATTTTCATATACACACAGCTAAATAGGCTTCTTTTTGAATAGATGCATATGTAATACTCACTTGTGTGGAGTCATGCAATACTAGATATACACAGTAAAGGTAACCATGTGTGCACAGAAACACACAGAGATTTGATTGTTGCCAATCAAGTGTTAAAGAATGAAGTACCATATCCAACTTCTGTAAAGCCAGAAATGTTCCTTTTTAGCTAGAAGTTACGTGAACTAGGTTTTAGCGACAAGTATAATTTCTCTGGAGGAACTCCGACCTTTCTAGGTACAGAGTAGCCTTGTGCAGAAGAATCTAGTCTGGGATTCAGGAAAAAAAGGGTTCAGTTGTTGGATTTGCCATTGACCTGCTCAATAACTTGAGTCAAACCACTTCCTTTCCTGTGCCTCAGTTTCCCCATTAGTAAAATATGGACACTGAACTCTCTGGAAGTGTACTTTGTAGCCTAAATATGAAAAGCATTTTGTAAAAGTTGAGGTACTACTGTAGTCTCCTAGACTAGGGACAGAAGTTACACAAAATCTGGTATAAGTGATCAAAAGCCAATTCAAATCTGTAACACAACAGGAGTTCAGTGCATACAAACTACTTCCAAAATGACCAAAACTGGTTTAAGGTAAACCTAGATGGATGTAGTATCAGACTAACTGATTTAGGTGAAATCGGTTTATTGAACTTCTGTCCCAGATTCAAGTTAACTCACAGTCCCCCAGCATCCCAGAATACTTTGCACCTCTCCTACAACCCCCACCCTCAATGGGGTGGGTGGGCTAGCCCTGGCCCAAGCAGGGAGGTGTGCTCTAGTGTCCCCAGCTTCTGCCCTGGGTCACTGTAGGCAGGTGGCTGCATTTCCAGAATCACAAGTGAATGTCTGTTCACTTACTTATATGTTCAATCTATGCAGCTTAGAATAACCTGCAAAGATTGAATTGATTCGATTATGGGCTTTTTGACTGTCTGTGCATAGCCCTTCAAAGGAGCAGTAGAAATTGCTGTTCTCTGCTATTCCTGGAAATGTGATTACATCAGGGGCTCCCAATTACAAAGTACAAGAGGTGGGGTGGGATTCTTATTCACAACTCAAGCTGGATGTAGTACTCAGATCATGGCATAATCTTTGGACACCAGGCTACAGCTAGCTCAAGCATGACCTTGCAGATTCAGGCCTGTATCCTGAATCTTTACCAGTTTCTTTACCTTGTATGTAATATCATGGCAAGATGGGGTTGGCCTTCTTGGAGTTTGTTCTTTCTGTAATGCTGCTTTATTTTCTCTTCATGCATCTTCTTTGCCAAGAGTCTTCCTGAAGGTCTCTTCTTGAAGGTTCCCTTCACAGCAAAGTTTCTACACACAGGAAAAAATCCTCCACTTGCACCCAACAGTAGTCCCTGGAACCAAATATGTCCAAATCTCATTGAGAGGATTTTTAGGCACCTCTATAACACTGTCACCTGCTTAACCCTCTGGGCAAAAAAAATGTGAGTATTTCCTCTATCTCACCTCCCAGTAGAAAAGAGGATTATTGTACAGGTAGTTATGTAAGGACCAGTCTATTCTGTGGTGGGGTGGTGACTTCTGTTCAGAAAGAATTTGTCAAGTTTAAAGCAGCGTTATTTAAATTCACAAGAGCCCAAGGCAATAGTTGCCATTCCCTTCTCAATATCTAGAAACATATCAAGCACATGGGGACGTTTACTCATTCTTGTTGAATATGCATGTTGCTCCAGTTGCTGGGTATAACTGATGAACTGCACAGGCAGAGGTACCAACAGAAAGACATCAAATTCGGGGCCAGAAAATTCAGCTCCAAGCTCTCAAAGCCTGGAGTTGCAATATTTTCTTAGGGCTTAATACAAAGCCCACCTAAGTCAGTGCTAGCTGTTGGAGGTATTGGGAGGCTATGACCATGGGTTGACAGGGCTCAAGCAACTATAGCATCAGCTTTGAACTAGATAGACTACAATAGGATTCACTTTTACTCTGTGGCTTTTCAGCACAGCTTTTTAGCTGTGGCTTTTCAGCACACGCCATGCTGTAGGCCAGGTGTCACTGCATCTTGCGACAGCATAGCAGAGGTAGCTTTAAACTAGCTGCCCTGGCTATGTAAGCATTTGAACTGAGCTGTGGCTACACTGATAGCTAGCTTAAAACCCACGTAGGTACTTCTCCATGAGTTGCTGTGGCTCTTTCGACTGTAGTATAGATGGATCCTTTTTAATGTGAGAGATGTCATTATTGGCTACTGATTTTGTACTGCTAAGAATGCTACGCTTTCTGGGTGAGATGGAAAAGGGTAGCTCCCCTCCTTGCTGGAAAAGTCAATCACATGAATTGTGTATTTTTATGCAAAAAAAAAACCAGAAAAAAAAAAAAGAAATCCTCTCCAAATTTCCATGCTTCTCCTTTTGCTATTATGACAAGATTTTCTCCTGAAACTGAGCAATAAATGTTTCATAAACATTTCCCTCCATCTGCAAGTGGACCTTGAAAATTGATTATTTTTTGTTTGTTTCTTTTAGTCTCCAAATGTTTCTGCCATTATAAGGCAGCCAGTTATTTTGCTAGGAAGGAATGTGAAGAATTAGAGAAGTTGAAAGCGATTAAGGCTCTGTACTCGTAGACCGAACCGCTCACACAGCCTGGCAAGCAGCCTGGTCAGACTGAGCATTGCAAGACACCCTGAAGCCTTGAAAACAGTCATCTTCTAACCCCATGGGGTGGTTTTTGCATTATCACAGAAGAAATGATACAACAGCAGCTATTTTCTTCGTATTGAAAGGCCTCAGTGGTTAATATTTATTCTGATGAGATGTTTATTTTTGGATACTTTTATTGTTTCTAGGAAGGCCACAAAAAGTTCAGTGTTATGGAGAAATGGTTACTTTGTGTTCATGGTTTAAAAAAAAAAGCGAGGGGGGGGGGCAAATAATCCAGCCACAGTCCTTTTATTTAAAGAGACAATGCATTTTCCACACATGCACATCCAACGCTTTGCAGGCAGGATAATAAAAATACTGGTTGGGTTTTGTCTAAATAGAAACAGATTTAACCCTGGTGTTCTGACTTGAAGAGTGGGGGCTGGAAAGTTTTGAATATAGTTTAACTTTGTTTTATGCTCACTCGACCTTTTTCAGGGCTTTCTGAGTGTATATAAAATGATGCAAATATGAACAAATAATCATGGCCTTTTTTCTAGGCAGCTATTGATGATTTTACATAAGGAATTGATTCTTCCTGTGCAGGCCTTGCATCATAAACAGAGCTGGACAAAATGCAGCAGTTTCATATAAAACCTCCTAGTTTTGTGGGGTGCTAGATGAAGTAGTGCTTTAGTTACTGATGCGGAGGTGAAAAACATCAGGATTTCTAACCCCAGAGATCGGAGAGAGATTCAATATCTTGCTACACATTCTTCCAATTGTGGCATAATCTGTACCCGGGGGCAATATTTCCTATTGCTTTATGTGGGTTTAGGATTGAACCCTACATTATCCAAAAAACCTTAACGTGGTTCTCCACCAGGGGAAAAACCTATGATAAAAGATGTGACCTGAAGATCTGAAGGGAAAAGATGGGCTGCAGTATTTGTATATCAGGAAATTACCCATTACTCACAAGTTGCTCCATTTCCTTATAAAGAAGGGTCACCCCCTCACTGTGGAGCATAGAGAGAGTAAAAGAATATTAATGGCATTTGTAACCTGCCATAGCTAGCCATTTCACAAAGAGAAATTTTTATTCAGGTTTACACAAATAATAAATAATAAATACAATCCTCTATCTGGCTGGTGTAGGTACATTTGCAGTTGGAAATATTTGCAGTAGAACAAATACCAACATGGTCATCTCTTCACATGCTACCAAGGATGATCCAGCCCTAGGATGCGCGGGAAGGGAAAGAGGAATATCCAGATGCCATCCCTGGTTCCGCTACAGATTTCCTCTGTGGTTTGAGATGAGCTGCTTGATCATTAGCTCCATCAGTTCCTCATCTGTAAAAAAGGGATAACAATAGCATTTCTCTACCTCGCAGGAGAGCTGAGAGGATAAATGCAATAGACTGTGGAACAGTCAGATGCTATGATAGTTGTACAGGCACTTTAGATGAGTATTATAGCAGCCTCTGCCGAAACGTATGTCCACTTTGAACACTTCTGCATAGCTGGGGTGCCAAAATGAGCAGGTCTGACTTAGATCCTTATCACCCAGGAACGCAACCGCCAGCCCAAACGCCCCTCCAGTGTTCATTTGGCTTATTAAAATCTCCCAACAAGTTTCAGCAATGTTATCTGCTAAATTGTGTGAGGTTTTTTGATCATTAAGTGGATTGAGCTTCAAAGAGCTAAATGAAAATGAGCAATAAATATCAGTGTTACTCAGGTCAGAGAGAGCAAAATGACAAGGAGACCGAAAGACCTTCTGGCGATGGTAGAGCAAACAAATATGAAATACCTGCACTAAATCTTCCTGTTTGTTCTGATAATGTCTCTCTACCCTTTTAAGGTATTTTTAAAAGCAAATTAAAATGGAAAAGCTGGGCCAGCGCAATGGTCTGATCAGTCGGAGAGGAAGCCAAGAACCCTGGTGGCCTAACCCTGGTGGTTACACTAGGATGCTGCGATGGTGCCGATTGACTGCACTTGTCCTGGGCTGTTACTCCACTGCAAAAGTGGGGATGATGACAGTAGGTATCTGCTGGATGGAGTTGCCAGAATAGTTAAGTCTACTTATTTTAGATACATTTTAGAAAGATGGCTCCTGCCTCATGTTTTTGCACCCACCATTGTCTCTCAGTTGCCAGCCAGAGTGCTTGCATCACTGGTTACGTGCCAGCAGGAGCATATGAATTTCTGCGACCCATTACAATTTCTTTCTTACAATTTCTGTGACCCATACCTGTTATCTGCATTGCCATTCTCTTAGAAAAAAATTACACAGGTGCAAATTTTGACCAAGGAAGTTGTGTCCTCCAAAAGGGAGCACAAACATCTGCCACTAACTAATAGTAAGCCCAGGCTCAGTTTCTTTGGGAGCATTTTAAGGATGTTTTCCTCTCTGGCCCTCAGTCAAAAATATGAACCAGTGACACTGCAATTTATATCTACCTGCCTCTTACTCTCCCTAGTCCTTTTCTCATAACATATCATTATGATAGGGCATCCAGTGTAAATGCCTACTTTCTCCTTTACCGCCTGTCTCTCCTCCAGCTGCATATTGTTACAATGAAATCTCACAGTCCTTCTTTATGACATGCCAAGAGGACAGCCTGCATAGTGAGAGCTCTGTGAATCTGTGATGTCCTTGCACACTTCAGCAGGCCAACGGCAAATCCATCAGCCTCTTATCATATTCCCAAAGGCCGGGCTTCTGGCCTAGCCAAAAGAAGGGGATGTTTTGTCCCTTACACTGACATCTTCTCTTCCTTTGGGAAAGCAAATATACTCTCTCACTTGCAAGCTTGATACTGTTATAAGTAATATTAAAAATTAACCGTATGCATTCTTCAGCCTATTTTGCAATTCCTTTGCTTTGGGCCCTTCTTTAGTGATGACTAGACCAGGCAGAGCTGGAAACAGAGCCGTGACAAGTTGGAAAGACTCAGACAAGATTGGGGAAGGAGGCAGGATGATATTTACTCTTCCTTCCTTTTAAAAGACATGAAAAAGTCTATGCCTTTTAACCACTCTTTCATCCCCCCCATATCCCGTGGCCCAAAGGTAGTTGTCATTTCCTATTTGTTCAAAGGCTGCCTGCTGCTTTGAAGGAATGTGAGAGGGGTTCCAGGTATTCTCCTGAGAGAAGAGAGCAGGAGGAAACCTAGTGATTAAAGAGCTATTGGGGGAAAGTTTAACCTTTAATGGTTCCCAACCTGGGCTACATGTTCAGCATTCATGTGCCATAGAGATAAGGGGAGAATGGATTAGAAATCCATACTATTATTAGCCACAAACCTATTTCATAAGCACAAGGAAACACATACATACATTATCCCTGGGAAAATCCCAAGCCAGAACCAAAATGGCTTGGAGGAGCAGAAGCAGGCAAACAGGGGATTGAAACAACCTACGTTTGATTTATCCCCGCCCTCTTTAGGGCATGTCTATGCGAGACGCTAAATGCGCAGTAGACTAATTCTACTGTGCATTAGCGTCTCACGGCAGAAGCCGTCCTATTGCACTAATGCACAGTAGAATTAGCCTACTGCACTTTAGCATCACTAAAAAGGCATGCACTGGTGCTACTGTGCAATAGTGCTGGTTACTGCACATTGAGTTAATACCTGTTATTACAGGTACTAAACTTAATGCGCAGTAACTATGGTGGATTAATGCATGTGTAGGCATGCTCTCTGTGATGCATCTAAACTCTAGCCCTTTCCAGCGGGATTATATGCTAGGTATATCTCGGGGGTTCAAAGCACCTGCCCAGCTGCTGTATACACAAAATACACTCTAATATTCTGTTGTCTATGATGACCTATTAATACACAATGATATTACTGTGAAAGAGTGCATATGAGATCAGCAATGACTTTTCACAAATCAGCTGTAGAAACATACTGAAAGCCAGTTGGAACTAGTTTTAAACAGGGCAATTGTAGACTTAAAAAAAAAAAATCTGCTGTTTATACCTGCTAAAAACCTCTACTGCAAACAGGATGTAGAAGTACTTTTCACTTCTACATTAATTTACATGCCAGTGACTTGGCCATTTTAAATGCATGCCTGTACAGCAGACAAACTCTTCTATTTTGCAAAGCAGAAGCTCAGGTAGAGCACCAAAATATTAGAGGTTTGATCTTGGAGTACTCTCTCCTCATAGGTTCAGCTCATGAGTTTCAAGGACACTCCGAGCATCATGGTCCTTTTATAGGGTCAGGTAGTGAGTTGCACAAAGACACTGAACTCAGGTGGCTGAGCTAGGAGAAAAGGCAGATAATTTCATTCTCACTCTAAACTGTAAGGTGAAATCCTGACTGATTCCAAGTACTGTGCTGAGAAAGATAGGCTCCAGAACGAAGATCCGAAAGGATAATTATTTTTTTTTAATGCAAGCAAAAATTCTTCTATGGAGCTTTTTATTGTCTGTGCATTGGTAAAGTGCTATGAATAATTTTTCCCAGGTGTTTAAACAGGTGGCATCTTCGAGGGAAGCAGAGCTTCTTTCATGTTCCCTATAATTCGTGCTGTCTTAAGCCTTCATCATCAATGTCGTGGGTGAACATTGTGAGTGCTCTAAATGTCTTTCCCATGAATATGTTCGGTACCAGGTTTCACTATTGGAATATAAGTATTATAGTTTACTTATTTACAGGGAAGGAAATAACATGCTGGCTCTATTTGCTACTCCTCTATTTATTGTCTCTTCTTCTGTGCAGTATAAAAATGTTAGTCATCTTCAACAACCCTTGTAAGTGAGCATGCCAAATATATTCTCCAATTCCACATAGATGAGCTGCTGATATTGCACATAATTTGGCTGGAAGTGATCAGAAGTGGCAGATCTAAACGACAAGGAACAAATCTTTGGCCAAAAAATACAAAAATCTATGGATGACTTTTGGAAACATAAAAGACTGGACATGCAGGAATATGCCGTGCAGGTTCATGTGCTCATCTAGCCCCTACTTCACATCCACCATGGATTCAAAGAGATGGCATATGAAATGGAGAGGATAGAGAAGCTTCTACTTGACATCAGATACCTTGGGCACATTCAGAAGAGTGTGCACATGGATTTGCCCAGGGTGGCAGTGGTGGTAATCTGGGCATGCAGAGCCTGCCTGGCAGAGGGAATTTGGCTCTGAGCAGCCAGGCTCTGGTTTCAGGTGGCACATGCTACAGCCACGTGTGCCGCCCTGCTTTTTTTCCCCACGGTTTCTTTAGATACCTGGATTTTCCAGTATCTAATTTTGCTGCTGCACTGCAAGTATGCAGCACAGCGAACAGATCCATGTGCACCACTTGTGTTTTGCAGCACCTCAAAAGGCTTTGAGGCACTGCAAACTAGATATTTCCACTTATGTGGACACAACCCTTAAGAGCAATATCCATTGAGATTTTTTGTATGCATCAGAGCATTGTTACAAGTCATTTAGGCCAACCATTTCAAATGTGACAATTTAATACCAATTCCTAATTCCATGCTTAGAGACATACGAGTGGTAGCTAAATTTCTAATCAAAGCTGTTTTTTCCCCACTGCAAGTATGCAAATTGGGTCACTGCCAGAGAATAACTATAGTGTTTGGCAACCATGTTTGAAAGTGTGAATGTATCTCTCTGAGTTTTTTTTGTTTCTTCATCTATATACATGATTAATGTCTTCCTATCTGAGAGGGTTGTGGTCTACAAATGAATTCATTCATATTTCTAAAGCACTCTGAGCTGGAAGGTACGTGTAATTGCCCAAGTAGCTCCTTCTATGAAGGACAACAGTTGGAAAAGGAAATTTGTGTAAGGTTCCCTGTTGAAGTGCCATCAAATCCATACTGTAGTGGATGTAATATCCTTTCATCTGCAAACCAGGAGAATAGGCATGGTTTCCAGTCCCAAGTTTTCTAGCCCTCCCTCTCCCCACTCCCCCCAACACAAATACACACTCTCGAATCTGCTAAGAAAATTTCCACATGGCTTGGGTGTTTCCAACACTCACCGATGTCTACCCACTCTGTAGTCCTTCCTTCTGTCACACAGAGGACATCCCCGCGATGGACAGTGCTACAGAGTGAGTTGGTCTTCCTCATACTCTACCTACATGGAACAAGGAGAAACTAAGCATTGGTTTCAGGCTAGAAAATTCAACTGATTCATCCTATACTTCAGGATGGCAAAATCTTTAGTCCTCAGAAGGAAAACAGTGCCATATGAAAGCATCACCTCGATCTCCAAGTGCACGTGCTAGGTCATACCCAAGATAGCAGCAGTTGGGAGGGGGAGGGTCCTTTGTTTAATTTAGAATGAAAAAAAATCTTTATCTGGTCAAAGTTCAAAGAAAATTGCTGAATAACCATTTTTGAGAAAAAGAAGTCTGAGATGGGGGAGTTTTCTTCATCCTCCTTCAACTCCTTTTTTCCAGCCATATTAATTTGCCAGCTTATTGCATCACTGCATGTTTATACCACAGCATTTCTTCAGCACCTGTCAGGATCTAATAATTCTACAGTATCTCTTATAACCTGTCAGGATCTAATAATTCTACAGTATCTTTTTTCCCCTGATTTTTCAAGCCACAATACAGGGAAATTGTCTCCAAGAAAAACTCATGTCTGCTTCCCAAGACTGTGACCTCTTGGAAAGGAAGGGATGGTGTCAGAAGCACTTCTAAACATGTCCACTGTTTCATCCAGGGTCAAGCGTCACGTTGCTATTCATTTACAGTTTCACAGAAGTTTAGAGCTGGAAGGGACCTCGTGAGATCACCGGGTCCAGCCCCCCTGCTCTGGGCTGGAAAGACTGCTGGGCTCAAATAACCCCAGCAAGATGAGGGTCCAATCTCCTTTTGAAGATCTCCAGGCTAGGTGCCTGCACCATCCCCACTGGGAGTCTATTGCAGAGTCTGATCACATGAACCGTGAAGCAGTTTTTCCTTCTATCCGGTCTGAAACTTGCTCAGTTTCCCCACCAAAGATTTTTCATTTGATTTTTGAAACCATATTTGACCTACATGAAATGCGGCTCCCAGTGACCTTTTATCTACCTTGCCAAAGGCCTTGCTGCAGTTGGGCCTACTTCCTGGCATCCTCAAAAAAGAGGTCAAGGATTGAAGAGACCTGAAGGCTGAGGTGATTTAGCTGAAGCTTGTTAGCTTGATTTAGTGTGGGGAAGCCAGTGCTAATAGTGCCCTATTCTCTGGTTCATTTTGCAGATAGAAGAGCCACCAGCTCTACGTGTCTCAGTTGACCAATATGTGCCAATATGAAAAACACATATATTACTTGGATAAAACTCTAGGATTTCTACTGGAATCTCAAATCCTGATGTATATCAATCATTGCTCATAGAAAGCCAGTCTGAATGGCCTGCTATTTATTTTGTTGCTACCTATTTCACATGCCACCTGCTAACAAGATTGATTAAATAGCAGAATTCCCTAAGCTGCAGCTCTGTGGATATCTTCATATATTATGACAGCTAAGACTCCAAATGCTTCTTTGCTATTCTTCCTGTGCCCCTACTCAGCAAAAAGAAAGGAAATGTTTTAAAAACTGCATTAACTCTGTGTCAGCTAAGGGTTGCTTGTGCATGTCTTATTATCCATCCAGAGAGGTATTTGGGCAGTGGGTGGTGTTTAAAAAAGGTGGCGTGTATGTCTTTGGTTAAGCAGATCATGCTTCTGTATTTAGCTTTTGATAATCACCAAGACAGAAAGAAGTCTTTTTTTTTTTTCCTCCTTACTTTTAAATGAATTTTATGTCAAGATAGTTCAAGCTGTCAAAGTGGTTTATAATAAGTTGTACTGTGGTGGTTAAATGATGTAATATCCCTTCAGAGAACAGCAAACGCGTACCTGGTAGTTACATCAAGCTAGATCAGATAACGTGAGATCACAAAGTAACCGAATTGGTCTTTCTAGTTCCTTTGATGTGAATCAGTTTACCCACATGTTATTAAAACTAAAGCAACTGGGAGATGCATTTTTATAGTAGCTAACACTGAAGGAGAGACAACTAGAGAATCTGAGTGGCAACTACACATGGCAGAAAGGACATGCCAGTTTTGAGGGACTTGCCATAGACAATAGCCTTGGTTAAGCTATAAATAGACATCATCTATGTGTCACCATAAAAAAAAAATGATAGTGGCACAAAACCCAAGCAAACAGATGTCCATGCCCCTTGTTGTACCCCAAATGCCCCAAAATAGTGGTGCAACAATTCCTAGAAATAGTTCATGCTGCCTTTTCATTGTGGATATCTGTTTGGTTATGGCATGAGAGCATGGGCAGCCGGGGCTGACCATGCTCTCCAGCTGTCCTGGGCAGGGCTTGATCCCATGGGATAAGGGCCTCAGGTTCCTGAACCCAACCCAGGGGCACCCTGGGGAACCTTATATATTCCCTGGTCAGCAATTGCAGACATATGCCCCAGAAATTCCCCTGCAAGGCACATGTTTCACATTGGAGAGCAAGGGAAGCCCATGCATTCCCTGCTCCATGCTTGCAGACCCATGGCCCAGCAATGCCCCTGCAGGTATACATCTGCAAGTGAAGACCGTAGTACATGCAGGATTCCCCAGGGTGCTCCCAGATTGGGGACAGGCACCTGGAGCAGCAGGGGTCTAATCCTGGGGGACAATAGCTCCGAATGACATCTGTCTCCGTCAATCAATTCGATCAGCTATGCTGGGACACATTCTGGCACAGCTGATCCCACTACCCAAATGACATCTGTTTTGTAGCCTTTTTAGTGTTGGTGTCCTTTCTGGTGTTTTGCTGGCTTGAGGCCTGGAGTGAACAGAGGTCTGCTTGTCAAAGGGTCCTGGGAACTCATAGTGCCTTTGACACTGATTTCCCTGAATAGCCTGGAGCATTTCACTTCCTCAGTCTGTGCATCTCTTTCCTCACGTATAAAATGTGGGGATTATAGGAACATCAAGCTAGACTTGATTCTTAAAGAGTTAAGTACAGTGACATGTTTTGAATACGTAAAGCTAGTTCTGTGCTAAATAAAGGCGTGTGGACAAGAACATATTTGTTTCATAAAGAATTCCCAGATTTTGATATTTCTTTTCAGTTAGGAACTAACCCACTACATTTCCATTGTCTCTGTAAGAAACAAAAAGTCTGTTTCAATTTTTGCTTCTTTTTTTTTTTAAACCCAAAATTTAAAAGAAAATATTGGGACATGATTTCAAAACTAAAGCAAGCAAAATTGTTTTAAACTTTAGGGTGTCCTCAGAAATTTTGCTCCAGTTATAACAGAGATTACATTTCATTTAAATTGACTCCGTTTTGCTGAGTCCTTCAACTTCTATGGAGCTGCATTCTCCAGTGCTTTTTTCCAAACAGCTCTCGTGGTAAAGGGTGATGGTGGTTGTGGTGATGGTGGTGTTAAATATAATGGGAGATAAAACCAGTAAGGCCAGTAAAAGTGTTAAGTGTAGCCGCTGCATAGCTGTGGTCACGTACTCTGAGCAGAAAATAGCAGGCAGTATTGCAGTAATGCAAACCCCCCGGGAATCGGTCTCTAAAACCCACAGCTCTGGGCGGGTGTGTCTAACCCAATGCAGGAGAAGTGATAAAATAATGGTAGCAAAACCTAATAGATTTCCAAGGAGATTGAGCAGGAGCCACTGTAGCAGTGAGGCATAGAAAGCAAAGTAAACGAGGCCTCATTTAATTATCTTTTTCACACTGCATTAATCACCACAAACATAGCATTACGCCTATTTTTACATCAGTGTTAGAGGTTAATACAAATGTAATTTCCTGCATTGTCTATCATTAGCAACTGCTAGATCAAGGGCTCCAAGAGCAAAATAACAAGGCTAGGGTGCTCCCTTGGCTTATTTTTCACCAGGCCCTGCTTTCCCTTTTGACCTCTGCATTTAAGTTTCCCTATCAAATCATCTGATTTCCGATGACTGTTCTCATTCTTCCCCTTCCCCCACAATCCACCCTTGCATGTGCTGTTTCCATGACCTCTGGAGCCTCAGCAGCCTCAATCTCTGTGCGGGGTTACACAGTCAGTCATTTCCTCCTCCTCCTTCCTCTTCTTCCTCCTAAGGCTTTCATGACTCTTTGCTCTCTAATGTATCTTTTAACTTCTCCAATTGCCTGGCCAGCAACTGTCCCAGTGACAGTATCCTGTACCTCTTCTGCTCTCCAAGTTCCCTCGGAGATCTGTCTCTAGTCTGCTTCATAGGATTTTCCCAGATCTTCACCTACTGTCTCTACACCTGAAATCAGCTTTTCTTCCAAGTCCCCAACTCTTGGTTCTGGGACTGCCTTCCTCTCCCTTTCTCTCTTTCTAGCAGCTCATTTGGTCAGATAATGTTCATAGAAACATTATTGAACCTGATCTTACTGTCAGATAATGTTCAGACGGTGGAGAAAACCCCTTGCCTTTCTTCAAAGAGTCCTCCGTTTTTCCTCACCGATTTCCCTTACTCCATCATCCTCCCAAGGCACCAGGTAGATAGTTTTGGTGCTCTGTGGATTTGTGTACACAAGACGCTATGTCACCGTAGCAGTCACGTAGCATCTAAAAAAAACCCATGCACCTCCAAGGTGGCGCAGTACCAAACGTGCAGTCCCGGGCACGTGTAGATGTGCCCTATGTTTAGTCCCTTTCTCTTTCACTCCCTGCATCCAGAATGACTACAGTAATTCAAAAACCAGTTTATTCCTGTCCTTTCTAGTCCTCTGGCTGTGACCATTGTCCACAGCAACACTATCCCTTACCTCAGCTATTCCCACTTCCTCCTATCTAGCCTTCTTCCTGTTTTTAACTTTGCTCCCTTTTCACGTCTGTGGAAATTACTTCTTTGGGACACATCTGCCTAATTCCTTTCACTAGCTTTCTCTTGAGCTTCACAACCTCTAACTTATGGCTCATTAAGACCCTGCACAAGTCTTTGAGTTTGCTTGTGCTTATGCATCTGGCTCTTTGTTTTTCTCTCCCCTCCTTCAGCCTACTCCTTCACATCTTATGTTCCTGTTTCATGCTCTGTGTCTTGATTATTGAAATGATTTAAGTTGTAGGTCATTTCAGCATTCATGAAAAATCATGACTTGACCAGGGTTTGACTCT